AAGTTGGGTCTTGGAGATTATTCATCAGGGATAATCCATAGTGTTCCCCTCCTTCCCTCCTCTCACGCCCCCTTCCAGTCCCCTTTCAGGGACCTCTCTCATGATTTTTCAACAGGCAGCAGAATCCCTCCTACACAGAACATGTCCCATCTCAGTATTATGAGAGGGGGTTCTACTCTCCATATTTCCTAATTCCCAAAAGAGATGGAGAATGGAGATCCATCCTGGACTTTCGGCAACTCAACATCTTTATTCGAAAGTCAAAATTCCACATGATTACATTGGCATCAATAATTCTCTGCCTTCAGAAGATGATGTGGTTTGCAGCTCTTGACATGAAGTATGGATGCTTCCACATAGACGTTTACTCCTCATACAGGAGATTCCTGTGTTTTATGGTAGGCCAGGAACATTTCCAGTTTCAAATCCCCCCTTTTGGACTAGTGACAGCACCCAGAGTATTCACAAAAGTCCTCTCTGTGGTGGCAGCCCAGATGAGACACCAGGGCTTCACAGTTTTCCCATATCTAGACAACTGGCTCCTGGTAGGCCGCTCCCACTAGGAGGTCAGGTTGACAACAGAGTTTCTTCTTCGAGTGCTTGCTCATATCGATTCCAATTAGGTGTGCGCGCGCCGCATGCACGATCGTCGGAGAATTTTCTACCCTAGCAACACCCGGTGGGTCGGCTGTGGAGCCCCCTGGAGTGGCGCCTTCATGGCGCTGGATATATACCCCAGCCGACCCAGCGCCCCCTCAGTTCCTTCTTACCGCCCGTGACGGTCGTTGGAACTGTGGAGCGCGGCATAGCTGTTCTCCACTCTCCCTAAGGGCCCAAGCCTCCTCGACTGCCTTCCTGGCTCATGTCCCGATCCAGGACATTTGTAGAGCTGCGGTATGGTCATCGGTCCACACCTTCGCCGCTCACTATGCGCTTGTACAGCAGTCCAGAGACGATGCTGCATTCAGATCAGCGGTTTTGCACACAGCGATGTCTTACTCCGACCCCACCGCCTAGGTAAGGCTTAGTAGTCACCTGATTGGAATCGATATGAGCAAGCACTCGAAGAAGAAAAAACGGTTACTCACCTTTGTAACTGTTGTTCTTCGAGATGTATTGCTCATATCCATTCCAAACCCGCCCCCCTTCCCCACTGTCGTAGTAGCCGGCAAGAAGGAACTGAGGGGGCGCTAGGTCGCCTGGGGTATATATCCAGCGCCATGAAGGCGCCACTCCAGGGGGCTCCACAGCCGACCCACCGGGTGTTGCTAGGGTAGAAAATTCTCCAACGATCGTGCACGCGGCGCTCGCACACCTAATTGGAATGGATATGAGCAACACATCTCGAAGAACAACAGTTACAAAGGTGAGTAACCGTTTTTTCTCATACAGCTCCTTGCAGCCCCAGGTATTTGCATAAACAGAGAGAAGTCCATTTTGTCGCCTATAAGGATGATAAACTTTATCGGAGCGACATTGGACTCTGTTTCTGCAAGAGCATTGCTCCCTGCAGACAGATTTCAGATGACGAACATCCTGGTTGCGTGCATTACCCACAGAGCAAGAACTACAGTGCGAAAGTGCCTTACATTGTTAAGCCAAAGGGCTGTGTGCACCTACGTGATGCTGTTTGCCAGGCTTCATTTGCGATGTTTGCAGGCCTGGGTCCACTCAATCTACCTACTGGACAAGAACCACATCAGCTTCGCAGTGACCATTCCCACCAGAGTCATTGGGTCCCTTGCCTGCTGGTTGAACCTGGAAAAGGTGAGGGTGGGCTTTCACTTCAGTACTCCCACTCCAGTGCCACCGTTGTGACAGACCCCTCTCTCCTGGGGTAGGGTGCTCACCTGAACAGCCACACAGCGCAAGGTCCCTGAACCCCACAGGAGGCCAGACTACACATCAGCATACTAGAACTGAGAGCAGTCCACCTCGCATGCAATCCAATCATACGCTCACTCCATGTCCAGGTGTTGTCTGACAATGTCACCACTGTGGTTTACATAAACCAACAGGGCAGAGTGAGAGCTCGTCCCCTCTGCCTGGGAGCAGTCAGACTCTGGAGCAGGTGCATCAGGAACCACATCACAATCCAGGCTGCTTACCTCTCAGGAGGTACCACAACTCCCTAGCAGACAAACTAAACAGACGCTTCTCGGCAGACCACGAATAGGAGAGCCACAATTCCATCCTAAGTGAGATAGCCATACAGTGGGGTGCATCTCAATGGGACCTCTTTGTGTCCCAAATTAATGGAAAATTTCCACTGTATTGCTCCAGGGTAGTAGTGGGTCGCGGTTCCCAGGGCGACGCCCTCCTGCTATCATGGAAAAATTATCTCAGGTTTTTTTTGCCTGTTCCCTGGCTTCCACAGGTCATATGGAAAATATGTCAGTGTATGGGGCCAGTGTCATTCTTCTAGCACCCTACTGGCTCAGGCAGTTCTGGTTCCTGGAGCTTCTGCCAATATCTGCCTGCCCCCCAATCAAGATCAGCCCCTTCCTGAACCTCCTGACCCAGGACAAGGGAAGAATCAAGCACCCTAATCCATGGTCACTCCATCTCATGGCCTGGTGTTGGGATGGGCATCAGAAATAGAACATTCCTGCTTAGCTCCTGTTCAGGCTATCGTTACCCAAAATAGGAAGGATGTGACTAGAACTTGCTATGTGGCCAAATGAGGCATGTCGGCCTGGGCACAGCTCAGTCAACATTCTCCAGCCGCTGCAAATATTCCAATCATTTTAGGTTATCTCCTGTCCTTGAAGACCTCAGGTCTTGCTATTAGTTCATTGCGAGTCTACCTTGCAGCGGTTAGTGCCTGCCTTCCCTCATCCAACTACAGTACAATTTATGAAAGGCCTAGTCAGGTCCTTCCCACCGGTGATCAAACCTGCACCTCAATGGGACCTTAATCTCATCTTGTTAACACTTGTCACCAAGGGCTCAAAGGTTGGTTTGGTGTGTTCCATGACCCTCCTGTCCATGAAGGTTGCATTTTTAGTGGCTATCGCTTCGGCCAGAAGGGTCAGCGAGTTCAGAGCCATCACAGCAGACCCTCTGTATACAGTTTTTCCACAAGGAAAAGGTTTCCCTTCATCTACATCCCATGTTTCTACCCAAGATTGTTTCTGAATTCCACATCAAAGTATTCATTTACTTGTATTTTTTCCAAAATCCCACACTTCTGCTGAAAACAGGATACTTCACTCTTGATGTCTGGCGTGCCCTGATATTCCATCTGCAGCAAACCAAACCAATTAGAAAGTCTCCAAGTCTTTTTATCCCCATGGCAGAGAGATTGCTTGGGCAAGCCATATTCTCCCAAAGGATTTCTAAGTGGGTTTGGGGATTCATCCTAGAGTGCTACAGGTTAGCACACATCCCTCCCCCTGCAGGGTGTCACAGCTCACTCCACGAGAGCCCAGGCCACCTTCACAGCATCCCCATATGACATCCTGTTACAAGACCTTTTCAGGGCAACCACCTGGAGTTCTAGCCACACGTTCGCTACATGTTACGCTTTAGTTCATGCCTCAGCTGCACATGCACCTGTGGGATCAGCAGTATTGCAAGCATCTTTGCTGATGGCTTCCTCGCACCACCTACAGTCAGAGCACTGCTTGCCAATTGCCCACGTGTGGAATACACATAGGGACCAGCACTCGAAGTAGTAGTGGTTACTTACAGTAACTGAAAGTTGTTCGAGGGGTGTGGTCCCTATCTGTATTCCACTACCTGTCTTCCGTCCCCGCTGCTCTGGATCCTGTTGTATTTATGGTAAGAGGAGGAACTGAAGAGGTGTCGTCCTGCACCCTCTGGCTCTCTGTCAGGAGCACGAGGAGCTCTACTGCACACGTGTGGGCCAACGGACACTGCTTGAAAGAATTTCCAGACTCAGACTCATGGCATGTATGCGTACCCACATGTGGAATACAGACAGAATACTGGGCTAGAGGGACCATTGGTCTGACCCACTATGGCTGTTCTTATGATGCTTTGTCCCAAAGGCTTCTGTTAGTGTCCAGTAAGAGGTACACTAAAGACCAGACTGGCAGCAATCGGAATGAGCTGCTGGAACCCAGGGCCCGAGAAAGTTGCTCCCTGAAGCGGTTCCTGGCTTGATTAGAAGGTGTCACATTTCCCCCTTAAATCTCTTCTGAGTTTTATGAAAAAGCCGTGGAGCGTGCGTCAGACACATGATAAAGCCTTCTATAAAGTCGAGGGAACCTGCTTGCTCAAATGCCTGTGCAGCTTGCCCCTTCCTGGGGCTTGGTTTCATTGCCAGTAGGAGAACAAAGCTAGCCCAGGCCTTCTCCCCGGGCTGGGCTGCTGGAGGATTCCTGTCTCAGACCCTGCTCAGCCCATGCCCTAGATCTTCTCATTACAGACTCACTCCCAGCTCCTGTCTGTCTGGGCAGAGTAAGGAGCTGCCTGCCTCAGAGAGTCGGCAGAGCCTGCTCCAGCCTTTGCCAACAGTAGTAGTGTGGGGTGTTCCAGGAAAACATTGTCTGCCTGTTGCAGTCCTGCTGTTAGGGTAGATAGCACTTTACATCATAGACACCGAACCCGTCAGAGATTGGACTCCCTCCTGGCCATTGACACGGTCTGCTTCCTGCATTTCTCTGCTTGCACTGAGTCTTCTCTTGGGATTCAACCTCCTCTTGGGGTTGCTCTTCTTCTGGGGGTCTCTTGCACTAGCACAGCACTGTGATGTTTGGCTCCATCACATTCCTTCTCCCTCTGCAGCCATTGTGGGGAGGGGGATGTCTTACTGAACTGTAAAGACATTGAAACCATCTCTTAGATTGAGTAAAACTCTTTCTTCAAAGTGAAGGTCCTGCCTCCCCTTCCCGGCAGTCAAAATGAAGCCCCCGTTTCCTCATTGGGGGTGAGGGGGAGTTGGGGATTGCTGGCCTGGCCGTGGCTGACCAGGATTTGAGGTGCAGAGCTCTTAGCATACTTAGGAGAAATTGTTGTTGGGATTAATTTTTTAGATGCCAAGAGGAAACTTGGAGACTGTTCACCACCGAGCCCTCGTTCTGGCCCAGATTCGGAAGTGGCTGGACAGGTGAGTGTCACTAATGTGTATCAGCGTGCATCCCCCAGGCTCTTGTGGGGTGAGCAGCTGGAGGAGGGTCGCACTGTCCTGGTGGGATATTGACCGGGACCTGCAGAATGAGGGCATTAAGTTAGAGTGAAAGGGGGACTGCTTCAGGAGAGTTCACAAATAGTTATGACGTAGCAAGTGGAAACAAACCAGTTCTGGCAGTTGGGACCTCCAGGTAACTGCCACCTGCAAGCAGAGCCATCTCAACATTTATCTTATTGATGTACAGCTCGTGCTGCGTGCTTTAGTCCCTGCTGCAAGGAGCTTGTTAATCAAAAGGACAGACAAGTAGGTAGAGGTTAGGGGACAGGAACAACGATAAACAAATTACGTGTAGGTCATCTGTATTCACTGTGAGCAGCACTGCAGAACAAGCTGGGAGAAATGCCATCTCTTCCCCTCCCCATAATTATAACTTATCCTAGAAGACAAGACTGTCCCATGGAATAAAACCTTGCTAAATGTCACTGTTCTAATGGAATAGAAAAGTGCCCGAGACTAGAGCTGAATAGATAGTTGTTTTTTTCAGCCATTGAACCAAAAAATCGGGGCGGAGGGGGAATGATTTCGGGTTAAACCTGGAACTGAAATTTTTCACTTTTTCCTCTCCAAAATGAAATGATTTTATTTTTTTGTTATGCTTCTGGGTGTGTTTTACTTTTAAAAATTTTTAACAACTCCTGGCTAAATTTCAAAGTGAAATATAGTTTTGAGAAGTTTCACTTCAAGAATGTCAATGAACTGTTTGGACTTTTTCTAGTTTTTTTCATTTAGGTGTCTGAAACTGCTGAATTTCTGAAAATATTTTTTTCATTTGAAAAACGAATTTTGGGCAAATAAACTATTCACGGGGGAAAAAAATCTGCCCAGCTCTATCGGTGACCAATACACTGTTATCTTTAAACCCAAATGTAACTCTCTTCAAAACTGGCCCACACCTGGTTAAATGCTACCCAGTGTGATGTCTGTCTGGGCCAGGACAGGAACTAGGCATGGGCCCAGCCAGCCTGCTTTGCAGAGGGAAGGCAGTGAAAATTAAGCCATAGAGGTTTATTTAGTGTCTGGCAACTGTTCCCCTCCCTCCCTGTGTATATTAGATTATAGTGCACACTCCTCTAAAAACCTGCTGTATTTGACCCATTCCAACAGGCTCATGTTTAAAGAAGCATTTGAATGTATGAGGAAGCTGAGAATCAACCTCAACCTTCTTTATGATCACAATCCCAAGGCAAGTTTGAGTCGCACTTGTACCTCCCCTTGCATGTTTTTTTGCCTCCCAGGGAGTGTGGGATTTGCCAGAGGATGTTGTGAAGGCCAAGACTATAACAAGGTTCAAAAAAGAACTAGATACATTCATGGAGGATAGGTCCATCAAAAGCAGTGGATGTGTTATTCCTTGACTTTAGCAAAGCTTTCGATACAGTCTCCCACAGTATTCTTGCCAGCAAGTTAAAGAAGTATGGGCTTGATGAATGGACTATAAGGTGGATAGAAAGCTGGCTAGATCGTCGGGCTCAACAGGTAGTGATCAATGGCTCCATGTCTAGTTGGCAGCCAGTATCAAGCTGTGTGCCCCAAGGGTCGGTCCTGGGGCCAGTTTTGTTCAATATCTTCATTAATGATCTGGAGAATGGCGTGGACTGCACTCTCAGCAAGTTTGCAGATGACACTAAACTGGGAGGAGTGGTAGATACGCTGGAGGGTAGGGATCGGATACAGAGGGACCTAGACAAATTAGAGGATTGGGCCAAAAGAAACCTGATGAGGTTCAACAAGGACAAGTGCAGAGTCCTGCACTTAGGACGGAAGAATCATATGCACTGCTACAGACTAGGGACCGAATGGCTAGGCAGCAGTTCTGCAGAAAAGGACCTAGAGTTTACAGTGGACGAGAAGCTGGATATGAGTCGACAGTGTGCCCTTGTTGCCAAGAAGGCTAATGGCATTTTGGGCTGTATAAGTAGGGGCATTGCCAGCAGATCGAGGGACGTGATCATTCCCCTCTATTTGGCATTGGTGAGGCCTCATCTGGAGTACTGTGTCCAGTTTTGGGCCCCACTGTAGAAGGATGTGGAAAAATTGGAAAGAGTCCAGCGGAAGGCAACAAAAATGATTAGGGGGCTGGAGCACATGACTTATGAGAAGAGGCTGAGGGAACTGGGATTGTTTAGTCTGCAGAAGAGAAGAATGAGGGGGGATTTGATAGCTGCTTTCAACTATCTGAAAGGGGGTTCCAAAGAGGATGGATCTAGACTGTTCTCAGTGGTAGCAGATGACAGAACAAGGAGTAATGGTCTCAAGTTGCAGTGGGAGAGGTTTAGGTTGGATATTAGGAAAAACTTTTCCACTAGGAGGGTGGTGAAGCACTGGAATGGGTTACCTAGGGAGGTGGTGGAATTTCCTTCCTTAGATGTTTTTAAGGTCAGGCTTGACAAAGGCCTGGCTGGGATGATTTAGTTGGGAATTGGTCCTGCTTTGAGCAGGGGGTTGGACTAGATGACCTCTTGAGCTCCCTTCCAACCCTGATATTCTATGATTAGCCAGGATGGGCAGAGATGGTGTCCCTAACCTGTCTGCCAGAAGCTAGGAATGGGCGACAGGGGATGGAGCACTTGATTGCCTGTTCTGTTCATTCCCTCTGGGGCACCTGGCATTGGCCACTGCCGGAAGACAGGATACTGGGCTAGATGGACCATTGGTCTGACACAGCATGGCCGTTCTTATGTAATCAGGGTTTATAAAGCTCTGTCAACACCACATCAGAATCCCACTGGCCAATTAGGGGAGGAAGCTTTTCCTGGCAACAGAGGAGGCCGAAGGCAGCAATGTTAGTGGAGCCTGTGTTGCTTGTATCTAAGGCCTTGATCCTGCAAGTGGATCCATGTGGATGGATTCTCAGCAGAGGGGCACAGATCTGAGTGAAGGGTAGAGCTCCTAGGGCTGTGAAGATAATTCTGTTCCATGTCACACTTGGAAGGTTATCTCCCCTGAGCTGGCATTGCCTTGTACTGAACAGCTGGCATGAGAGCTTGGGGCATGGCGGGTACACAGGTTCTTAAGGATGGTACCCAGTGCTGTACAGCTCATACCGTCTGCATGCAAAGAACTATAGCGTGTGCAAATGGCAAGAGTAGGGTAACTTGGGTTTAGAGTTGGATATGCCCATGTGCAAATTTAAATGACCCTTTGAAGTCGCTCTGTGTGTTTTGTGTTAATGTGCCTGTAAATAACAGCATCAGCACTGAAAGGGTTTTGTTCACTTCAGGTTTTTCTGGAAAATGTGGAAACCTTCATAAAACAAATAGATTCTGTGAATTACATCAACTTATTTTTCACCGAGTTGAAGTAAGTATTATTCTTCTGATAAAAGAACACCTGGTAAATAAAGCTGCAGTTTCATTGTTCTGGAAGCTGGAGAATGGGGGCTGGGTCTCAAAGAACCAGAGGATTCAATCTGACCAAGTGGATGGTGACTGCTTCCAACTGCCAGGCTAGCTGGCTGTGGGCCTGGTCCATCCAGGCAGAGGGATTCAGCAAGATGGACTCACTTGTGACTATTGGTTTGATTTGGCCAACTGGGGACTTACATTTTGTTTGGCTGTAGCACTTTGTAGTAGGGCTGTCGATTAATCACAGTTAACTCAAGCCATTAACTCAAAAAAAATTAATCACAATTCAAAAAATTAAGCACGATTCATTGCAGTTTTAATCGCACTGGTAAATAATAGAATACCAATTGAAATGTATTAAATATTTTGAATGTTTTTCTACATTTTCATATACATTGTATTCTGTGTTGTAATTGAAATCAAAGTGTATATTATTTTTGATTACAAATATTTGCACTGTAAAAATGATATAAACAAAAGAAATAGTATTTTTCAATTCACTGCATACAAGTACTGTAGTGCAATCTCTTTATCATGAAAGTGCAACTTACAAATGTAGATTTTTTTTTTGTTACATAACTGCACTCAAAAACAAAACAATGTAAAACTTCAGAGCCTACAGTTCCACTCAGTCCTACTTCTTCTTCAGCCAATTGCTAAGACAAACAAGTTTGTTTATATTGACAGGAGATAATGCTGCCCTCTTCTTATTTACAATGTCACCTGAAAGTGAGAACAGGTATTTGCATGGCACTTTAATAGCTGCCATTGCAAGGTATTTACATGCCAGATATGCTTAACATTCGTATGCCCCTTCATGCGTTGGCCACCATTCCAGAAGACATGTTTCCATGGTGATGACACTCATTAAAAAAATAATGCGTTAATTAAATTTGTGACTGAACTCCTTGGGGGAGAATTGTATGTCTCCTGCTCTGTTTTACCCACATTCTGCCATATATTTCATGTTATAGCAGTCTCGGATGATGACCCAGCACATGTTCATTTTCAGAACAATTTCACTGCAGATTTGACAAAATGCAAAGAAAGTACCAATATGAGATTTCTAAAGAGAGCTACAGCACCCGACCCAAGGTTTAAGAATCTGAAGTGCCTTCCAAAATCTCAGAGGGACGAGGTGTAGAGCATGCTTTCAGAAGTCTTAAAAGAGCAACATTCTGATACGGAAACTGCAGGAACCGAACCAGTAAAAAAGAAAATCAATCTTCTGCTGGTGGCATCTGACTCAGATAATGAAAATGAACATGCGTCGGTCCACACTGCTTTGGATTGTTATCGAGCAGAACCCATCATCAGCATGGACGCATGTCCCCTGGAATGGTGGTTGAAGCATGAAGGGACATATGAATCTTTAGCGCATCTGGCATGTAAATATCTTGCGATGCCGGCTACAACAGTGCCATGAGAATGCCTGTTTTCACTTTCAGGTGACATGGTAAACAAGAAGTGGGCAGCATTATCTCCTGTAAATGTAAACAAACTTGTTTGTACATAATTCTGCATTTGTAAGTTCAACTTTTATGATAAAGAGATTGCAGTACAGTACTTGTATGAGGTGAATTGAATCACTATTTCTTTTGGTTTTTTTACAGTGCAAATACTTGTAATCAAAAATAAATATAAAGTGAGCACTGTACGCTTTGTGTTCTGTGTTGTCATTGAAATCAATATACTTGAATATGTAGAAAACATCCAAAATATTTAAATAAATGGTATTCTATTATTATTTAACAGTGTGATTAATCGCACTGTTTTTAATCGCTTGACAGCCCTAGTTTGTATTTTTTTCTGGTTTGCCATGTGAATGTTTGAGAAAATCTCACCAGTTGCTTCAGTAGTTGACATCCTCTGATTTAGGGGTCTCCTGTGGGGATTGCAGAGGGGAATAAAGAAACCCTTTTTTTCTAAGGCTATTATTGTTCAGGCTCCTTACTAAGTGATTTTTCAAAAGGCTGAGTATGATTTGCTCCCTTTAAAGGCACTGGGAGCTGCTGGTTTGCTCAGCACTTCTGAGAATCAGGCCACTTCTTTAGATACCTAAACATAGAGTGTGGAGTCTCATTTTGAAAATCTCAGCCTTAAATCTTTGTTTGGGAACCTAAACAAATGGTTTAATTTTCAAAAGTGCCAATCATCTTCATGTCAGAAGTGTCTGAGCCCTCCTCCTGCCTGAGGCGTTCCAGTTGTCTGACAAAGAAAAAATCATCTTGAAATGGAGTCTGCCTATTGCCCTGTATCACTTGTAGAGTAGAAGTTTTATGTTTCCCTGGGGAAAGGATAAGAGAACAAACCATGCATGATGGATATTAATCCACTTCATGAGTCCTTTCCAGTTGTGCCAGATAATGACAGGATAAGGAACTACATAGAAGAGAGAGTACTAGTAATCTTAAAGTGCATTGTACAGTATTGTACAGTACTCCTCATTTAACGTCCAGGTTAACGTTTCGTTGTTACGTTGCTGATCTATTAGGGAACGAGCTCGTTTAAAGTTGTGCAATGCTCCATTATAATGTCGTTTGGCAGCTGCCTGCTTTGTCCACTGCTTGCAAGGTTCTCTGGAAGAGCAGCCCCTCCTTGCGGGGAGGCTCCCCTAAATTCTCTGTAAGGTATGTGGCTCAGCTCGGCAGCTGCCCAGCAGCAGTTCAGCTGTCCCTCCCCCCCTACCCTCTGCCTTGGAGCTGCTCCTGGAGCTTCCAGCTTGCTGGGGAAGGGGGGGAGAGGGGTGCTGATATCAGGATGTCCTCCTGCTCCCTCACTCTGTACCCCCTCTCCACAAAGCAGAGGTTGGGGACAGGGCTCAGGGACAGAAAGTAGGGAGCTTGCTGGAAGCTGTTGCTTCCTGTCTGAACTGGCTGATCTGCTTAAAAGGGCAGCGTACTTGAAGTGGGGCCAGCGTACTTAAAGGGGCAATGCACGTTGCTCTCTCACACTCATGCACGCACACCCCAGCACTTTGGAAAGTCAGCACCTGTGCAGCCGTGCATGTGCTGTCAGGAGGAGGGAGTGCTGCGCTCCAGCTGGGTAGCGTGGGCTCAACATCATGTTCAGTTTTTGCAGGGAAGTGTTTGCAGCTACTGCCCTGCATCTATTGTGTTTCCTCCCTCCTGCCTCAGTCCATGCTGCCTTGCAGAGTGTGAGGCTACATTAACAACTGCGGATTAACCCTTGAGGGCTCAGCCGAGTGCTAGTTCATCATTTAGCAGCAAGGCATTCCCTGGGAAATATCCCACCCTCTGACTCCACCACCTCAACCAAGCTTCACAGTCATTCATTGCTGTGTACAATATTAAACTGTTTGTTTAAAATTGTTTAAAACTTATACTGTATATGTACATAATGTCTTTTGTCTGGTGAAAAAAATATCCCTGGAACCTAACCCCCCCGCCCCCCATTTACATTTATTCTTATGGGGAAATTGGATTTGCTTAACATCATTTCGCATAAAGTTGCATTTTTCAGGAACAGAACTACACCGTTAAGTGAGGAGTTACTCTGTATGTCTTCTGGCACGAGTATTTGTGCTGGGCTGTGACTTGGGGCCCAACTGGTATTTATAGTGCATGTTTCTTCTTAGAGAAGAAGACTTCACAAAGACTATGTACCCATCTCCAGTTAGCAGCAACGTCCCGCTACAACAGTATCCTGATCAGAAAAAAGTAGACCTTATCTGTGATTCAATGAGAGCTGCCATGGAAAACATCAATCCTCAAAAGTAAGTGAAATGCCATCTGCAGTTTAGAACAGAACAGTAATAGAAAGTCATTTTTAGAGCTGGCTAAAAAGTAAGAAAAATTTTAATTTCAGAGGGGTTGAAGTGAAGCCCTATTTTTCTTTTCTTTTTTAAATCTGAAAACGTAAGACTCTTTTCACTTATTGACAACTAGCTTTTGATAAGTGAAAAACTGAATTTTTTTAGAAATTTTATTTAAAACTTTTAACAAAAAATCAATTTTTGACAGTGGGGAAAATGTTTTGGTGAAAAATTTTACTTCAGAAAAAAGGCCATTTTTCAACAATAAACTTTGTTTAAAAAAAAAAAAAAGTTGACTAGCTTTAGTAACTTGCACTCAGCTCTGTTGTCCAGAGGTAAAGGCTGATGTGGTGAGGAAGCTAGTTTTCTGTTTTAATTAAGGCATCATCAGAGTTTATATATGTACTGTATACCAGGGATCATCCCGGGCAAAATGTTCTTCCTTGGTATGTTCTTCACCCTTTATTCTTTTCAAATAAAAAACAAAATCCCCAAATCCCAACCCTTCCATTAAAGCAAAGACTACACTAAAATATTCAATAATAGAACTTAAAAAATACAGTAGAACCTCAGAGTTGAGAACACCTTGGGAATGGAGGTTGTTCATAACTTTGAAATGTTTGTAACTCTGAACAAAATGTTATGGTTGTTCTTTCAGAAGTTGAACATTGAATTAATAGAGCTTTGAAACTTTACTATGCAGAAGAAAAGTGCTGCTTTTAAACTTACTTTAAATGAAACAAGCACAGAAACAGTTTCCTTAAAAAAAGATTTGACAAGATTAAACTTTCCCTTTATTTTTTTAGTAGGTTATGTTTAACATAGTAATGTACTGTATTTGCTTCTTTTTTTCCCCCACTTTGTCTTTGCTGCTGCCTGATTGTGTTCTTCCGGTTTCAAATGAGGTGTGTGGTTGACTGGTAATTCTGGTGTTCATAACTCTGAGGTTCTACTGTAGATTGTTGATCTTCTCCTTCTGATTGGTTTCTTGCTTTGTTTCTTGTTGTCTGTTTCCCTCAGATACTGTCTTTCAATACTGACATCCCATGTGAAGAAAAGCACCCCAGAACTGGAAATTGCCCTTCAAAAAGTGCACGAGCTGCGAGGTACAGTGCTCCTAGTTCAGATGGCAAGGAAAGGGCTGCACATCTGGGGAGAGTTCAGAGAGTAGCTCTGATTATTAGCATTATTTACCCCTGATATTTGACTCTGAATAACAGAAATTTGTCCAGGCCTCACAAAGTTCAGTTCAGAGTCTATGAAGTTAGCTGTCACAATGAAATAGCACTGGATAGCACAGAAGAGACAGAATCACATATGGTTACTGTTGCTTGGTGTTGTGATCATTAGTCTGTAGTCAGGGTTTGGTTAATCATATCCGTGAATGAGCCTGGGTGTTTTAGCTGCCTCCTTGACCCCTGTTTTTTGCATGGGTGTTCTGTGTGCCCCATGCCTGTCGCTGGTCCCTCAGCATGGCACACTTGATGTCATTCTGCAGTGATATAAGCAGGATGCAAGTTGTGTTGTCCCTTGCTTTAGGCCAGGCCCTGAAGACTGCCATGCTGCTGTTCAGGTTACTACGTGAATAGCTGAGGCAGGCATCCCCAGCATCCCCTCTTTCAAGCACAAGACTGAATGGGATGATTTAGTTGGGGTTGGTCCTGCTTTGAGCAGGGGGTTGGACTAGATGACCTCCTGAGGTCTCTTCCAACCCCGATATTCTATGATTCTATGAATCGTTAGAGCAGGGGGACTGCCAGTCTGTCTCTGAAATCAGACCGTGCTGTTTCTAATGAGCTAAGTGAGCGTGCGTTCTCGTGGTGTGCCTGGAGCTCACGGGAACAGCCTTTGATTGGTGCAAGGTACAAGTGATTTTTGATGGCTCTGTTTCCCACGATTACAGAGACTGTTTCACCAGCAGCTGAGGGGGTGACTGCAGAAGCAGCGTTGAAGTATCTGCTCTTCCTGGTTGACGTCAATGAACTGTACGATCACTCCCTGGGCACATACGACTTTGATTTGGTTGTCATGGTGGCAGAGAAGTCTCAGAAGGTCATTGTGACACTACTTGTTCTTACTGTTTTCTAATTTTCAAGACAAAATTACCAAAGTTTCAAAGGTGGATCAGTTGACACATTGTTTCCGAACCATAACTCTGTACCAGTCCAGACACCCATCTTCCAGCCCTAACGTCCAAGCGCCCTCACAGGCCAGCCCCTGACTGTCTCCTCAGCACTGTTTGGGAAACCACCTGCTCAGGTTTGGGGAATACACCCTCCCTGGGGCAAGGGTGCTCTGTCCTTGGAGTGCAGAGTTAATGGGGTGCTGACTTTGTGCCACTAGTGAGGAGAGGTGTAGAAATCTTGGCTTTCCACTTCTGTGCTTTTGAGGTGATCAGGTACATGGTGTACTGTGACCTCAGCTGAGTGACAGCATGTGTGCATGTGAATTTTCCAGTTGGGTTTCGTTTAGGAGAGGCTCTCCATGGCACTCTGTTTCGGAACTGGCTGGTACGTCAGAGATCCCCAACTTCAGGGAAGGAGCTGCTGCTGGCCCTCAAGTAAAAACACTGTTTATAGTGTTAGGGGTTTCTTCCCAACCATTAAGGCTGGAAACACTTTTTTAAAATGAAATGTGAGATTCTGGAATATCCACTCGCTGGCAAAAAGTCAGACGAGACAGAGAAGGAAACAGTTTTGATGAATCAGGACGTCAAAAATTAACACAATTATAAACTGAAAATAGAGCCGTCCTCTGCCCATGACATGCTGCTAAAATCCAAATGGGAGTTGATTTTCAAATCTCAGTAATGAACTAGCTAGGAGGGCCTAAAACCATAAATCAGTGGTTCTGAACCAGGGGTACGTGTACCCTTGGGGGTATGCAGAGGTCTTCCAGAGGATACATCAACTCATCTAGATATTTGCCTAGTTTTACAACAGACTACATAAAAAGCATTAGCGAAGTCAGTACAAACTAACATTGCATGCAGACAATGACTTGTTTATACAGCTCTATATACTGAAATGTAAGTACAATATTTATATTCCAATCAATTTATTTTATAATATGGTAAAAATGAGAAAGTAAGCAATTTTTCAGTACTAGTGTGCTGTGACACTTTTGTATTTTTATGTCTGATCTTGTAAGCAAGTAGTTTTTAAGGTGAGCTGAAACTTGGGGGTATGCATGACAAATCAGACTCCTGAAAAGACTACAGTAGTCTGGAAAGGTTGAGAGCCACTGCCGTAAACCATCCAGAGGGAGTGATATTTAGTAACTCTCAAGCTAGCAGATTTGATTGATAGTTCCAGCTTTTCTTGCTGATTATGGGCTGCATGTTGCGGGAGATGCAGTTACCAGGGTTATTATTTGACTGAGCAGTTTGACATATAAGCAGCAACGCAGTTATCTGATGTGCTTTGCAGGACCCTAAGGAGTACCTGCCGTTCTTAAACACCCTCCAGAAAATGGAAACCAACTATCAACACTACACTATAGACAAATACCTGAAAAGATACAAGAAGGCACTCTGCCACCTCAGCAAATGTGGTAAGTGCCCTGCATGTATTGTGTCTCTGGGACATGATTCTCTGTTGTAGCATTTCACCACCTTCTACAGAATAGGATAAAAAGAAAATGAGTGTCACAGGAAGCCAGTGTGGGATCCTTGTTTGGCTTTGTTGCTGTTGCACAGATTAACTTTACTTGATTTTATACCTTGCTTTGGAAAGACACTTTTTATGGAGGGTTCTTTTGCTGAAGCACAAGTTCTGTCGTAAAAGTGGCTTGTAAAGGAAGCACGTTGATCATTAGGCTCTGTTTGTTGTGGGCATGCAGAGATGGCGTTGTGTGGCTGAAATAATGGCACAGTCATTAGTTCCTGTGTCCTGAATGGCTCAGATCACTTTATTATTGTTCAGGTTGTGGCCAGGAAACAATCCTGGCTCCTACGACAAAGCTCCTATGGGCTGTGGTGGGGCCAGCCCTGCATCCCATGTCCTACAGAAGCTAAGGTGTAGCTTGGTGATACTCAGATCTCAGTGGTTCAGGAGCCAAATTAGCGATCCGCACAGGAGTGTGAACTCCTTGTTTCATTTACTGTAGTACTAAAGATTCATATTTAAACAGTATGACGGGACATATTTAACTTACACACACACACACACACACACAATCAATTCTTACAGCAAAATGACTGACGAAGTATTATTATTTTATCAACTACAATTGGTTAATACTAGGGCTGTCAATGAATCGCAGTTAACTCACGAAATTAACTCAAAAATTAATCTTGATTAAAAATATTAATCGTGCTGTTAAACAATAGAATACCAATTGAAATGTATTAAATAGTTTGGATTTTTTCTACATTTTCTCATATACATTGTATTCTGTGTTGTACTTGAAATCAAAGTGTATATTATTTTTTATTACAAATATTTGCACTGCAAAAATGATAAAAGAAATAGTATTTTTCAGTTCACCTCATAAAAGTACTGTAGTGCAATCTCTTTGTTCTAAAAGTGCAATTTACAAATATAGATTTTTGTTTTGTTTTGTTACATAACTGCACTCAAAAACAAAACAATGTACAACTTCACAGCCTACAAGTCCACTCAGTCCTACTTCTTCTTCAGCCAATCACTAAGACAAACAAGTTTGTTTACATTTGCAGGAGATAATGCTGCCCTCTTCTTATTTACAGTGTTACCTGAAAGTGAGAACAGGTGTTCACATGACACTTTTGTAACTGGCATTGCAAGGTGTTTACGTGCCAGAGATGCTAAACATTCATATGCCCCTTCATGCTTCGGCCCCCATTCCAGAGGACATGTTTCCATGCTGATGACGCTCATTAAAAAAATGATTAAATTAAATTTGTGACTGAACTCCTTGGGAGAAAATTGCATGTCCCCTGCTCTGTTTTACCCACATTCTGCCATATATTTCATGTTATAGCAGTCTTGGATGATGACCCAGCACATGTTGTTCATTTTAAGAACACTTTCACTGCAGATTTCACAAAACACAAAGAAGGTACCAATGTGAGATTTCTAAAGATAACTACAGCACTCGACCCAAGGTTTAAGAATCTGAAGTGCCTTCCAAAATCTGAGAGGGACAAGGTGTGGAGCATGCTTTCAGAAGGCTTAAAAGAGCAACACTCCAATGCAGAAACTGCAGGGCCCGAACCACCAAAAAAGAAAATCGACCTTCTCCTTGTGGCATCTGACTCAGATAATGAAAATGAACATGTGTCGGTCCGCACTGCTTTGGATTGTTATCGAGTCAGCATGGACACATGTCCCCTGGAATGGTGGTTGAAGCATGAAAGGACATATGAATCTTTAGCACATCTGGCACATAAATATCTTGCGACGCCGGCTACAACAGTGCCGTGAGAATGCCTGTTCTCACTTCAGATGATGTTGTAAACAAGAAGCGGGCAGCATTATCTCCTGCAAATGTAAACAAACCCGTTTGTCTGAGCGATTGGCTGAACAAGAAGTAGGACTGAGTGGACGTGCAGGCTCTAAAATTTTACATTTTTAATGCATTTTTTTAATATAGTTGAACTTACAAATGTAAAATTTTTATGATCAAGAGATTGCACTACAGTACTTGTATGAGGTGAATTGAATCACTATTTCTTTTGTTTTTTTACAGTGCAAATACTGTAATCAAAAATAAATATAAAGTGAACACTGTGCACTTTGTATTCTGTGTTGTCATTGAAATCAGTATATTTGAAAATGTAGAAAACATCCAAAAATATTTAAATACATGGTATTCTATTATTGTTTAAAAGTGCGATTAATCGCGATTAATTTTTTTAATTGTGCGATTAATTTTTTTAATGGCTTGACAGCCCTGGTTAATACCATAGTAAAAGCATCCTGATTGGTTAATAATTAAATCACAGTGTTTTAATATCATGTGCTGCAAAGATCCCCTTGTGGCTCGCGAGCCTCAGTCTGCGTATCACTGGGGTAGCTGGTAAGTTGTGCTATGGCCCCAAAGCTCAGCCAGCCTTTCCCGCAGTGCAAGTGAACTGGTGAGCGTCGTGTACCCTGCCATGCTGTGTCTGTACCACTGGAGGACAGTGAATTGTTTCCTCAGGTACAGAGCACTTCTCTGAATTTCTGAACTTGGTGAAGGACCAGAATTTGTATAACGAAGCCCTGAAGTTGTATCCACCTGATACTCCAGAACACCAGGTGCGTGACCTGTGCTGTGAACCTAGGGAGTGGTTCTGCTGTGCTCATGGAATGCTGGCCCCTGCTGGTTGCAAGGGGTTAATATGGAATGCTTGAAACCAGGAACTCCTGTTCTCTGCACTGCACTTCCAAACTGTTTTGTTTTGTTTAATGGTGAACTGCAGCTGCTCTTACTGCCCCTCGGTGGGTGGGGGAGGGGATGTTAATAATGAGAAGTGTCTGCGATGCTCCCCGTCCCCCTCATTTGGGGGCTGCTGCTCAGATCCCAATTCTTTGCAGCATTGCTGTTCCTGCCCCCCCCCCCCAATGTTTTCCCTGAGAGACCTGCCCCCCCCCCCCTTGCCCTTCTGAAGTCACCCTGCAGCTTGTGCAATAACTGACCTGTTATGTGCAGGAATCCTGAGCAGCCAGAGAACTGCTGCCCCGCAACCAAACCCAGGCCTTGGCCTCATGGGATCTTGCCATGGTGGGCTTCACACTGCCTGCATGACAGCTGCCCTGAGAACCTACCCAGCCCCAGGAGGTGCAGAGCAGTATGCACGTGTGCATGCCCGTGCGCTCTTGTCACGTGTGACAGAGAGTGCGTGTGCATTCTTGTGCCCTGGGACGTTGGCCAGGGTAAGCTCTGAGCCCTGAGCCAGCTGGCTACTGTGAGCTAAACCAGGACCAATTTCCTTGGCTCCTCTTTCTTCAGGCCTGTTGGTGATTCCATTCTTGTTGTTTGGTCTGACTCTCACAGGCTGTCGGCAGTGCCTTTGCCGAGCACTTGAACCAGAAGCATCTGTATGAGCAGGCTGGACTGATCTTTGCCCGCTGCGGTGCCTTTGAGAGAGCCCTCGATGCCTTTCTGAGCAGTGGCAGCTGGCAGCAGGCCCTCTGCATGGCCTCTCGGCTTGGTTACACGGTGGATCAGCTGGCTGGTCTTGCAAGGAGCCTGGCAGGTAAGAGTCGTTGGGTGCACAGAGCACAGGTGGCCATCTGGAGTCACTGGTTCAGTGTGGAACTTTCTGACACTTCACTGGGAATGTCAGATTCTTTTTGGAGCAAAAGCGTAGATTTTTCAGAGGCCAAGACCTTCAGGGAAAAAGGGCTGAGCATAGAGCTGAAATATTGCTAAGAGGTGTGCCATGCCATGCCACAGCATTCTTACCCAGGCTTGGTGTGTTTAGCTGCTGGGGAGACATGTAATTCATTGCAGGAGCCAGGACCATCATGGGGGAATACCCTTGGATGCACCACTAGCCTGGAGCAAACAATCCCAGCGAGCTGTCTTCTGCATCTTCCTCTGATGGAGGTGTGTTGAACTTCTCTTCTGACACACTTTGCCAAAACCACTTAGTTTTCACACAGTTCTGCAGCAGTGAAGCCCCATGTCTCGTCCAGGCCTAATGAGCATGGGTAGAGCTCTTGCGCGGCTCAGCGCTATCCCCACATACAGGACTGCTTGTGAGAGGAAAGGCTGTGGAAGGAAGCGTACTCGCTTGTTCTAGAACAGAGGTCCCCAAAGTGTGGGGCATACCTCCCTAGCGGGGTGCAGAAGAACACCTGGGCCAACCCCACGGGAGGGGACAGAGCCCCCCCAGCCCTGCTCTGGTCCTGCCCCCAGCTGCCTCCCTAGCTCCTGGCCCCATTCCCAGCCTCGGTATGACTCCACTCCTGGCCCCACACCAGCCCCCAGCCTGTGCCACTCTGTTCCTGGCCTAGAACTGAAGCTGGGGGCAAGGTTGGGAGAGGAGGCACACCTGACCGTGGGCCTGGCTGCCGGCCCCCACCGCAGCCTGGCCGCGGCTCTGACTCCAGCCGCGGCCCCGCTCCCAGCTGTGGCCCCAGCCTCGGCCCCTTACCCCTGTCCATGTCCCCGCCCCCAGCTGTGGCCCTGTTCCTGGCTCGTGGGGTTAGAGGGGGGTGTGGACAGGGGTAAGGTGGGGGTGACCCTCAAAAGTTTGGGACCACAGTTCTAGAAATTGCCCCAATAACACATCAGTGGGTCTAATGGTCCCTGTACAATCTGCTCCCCCATTCCCCACTCACAGTGTGACCAAAATGACTCCTTTGCAGACCCCACCCTCCTCCAGGGCCGGTAAATGTAACTGTGTGTTGTGATACAGTGGGGCTGGCCCCAGCAGGGTGGCATGGCTCTGGTGCAGCCTCCTCCCTGCTGGTTTGCCGGAAACCCTTGGCTCCTGTGTGCCCGCTCTCTCATTGGTTGTTATTCCTGTTACTTAAATGGTGACTTAATGCAGCTCCCCGCGTAGGGAACGGGATTGTGACAGTGGCGGGCTGTTCAGTCCAGCAGACAGAGGTCTGACAGATCCAGTGGTGGGAAGTAAGGGGTAAATTGTGAGCCGTGAGGGGAGTTCACCATCGGAACCATTTTTTTCATAGATTCAGTGCCAAACAGGACCATTGTCGTCCTCTAATTTGACCTCCTTACAAAGAGTCACGCTGAGTGTTCCATCACTGGCAGCTTTAAACCAAGAGCTTTTCTGAAAGAGATGCTCTAGTTCGGTTAGGAATTAATTCAGGGAAGTCCTATGGCCTGCGTTACACGGAAGGGCAGGCAAGATGATCACAGTGGCCCCTTCAGACTTTAAAAATTTGACTCTTATTAGAAGCTGTTGGTTTTAAAACAGCTTTCTAAAAAGCTTAACTGGACAGTGCAGCACTGGGACCCAGAGGGCAGGGCAGTGGGCTGGGAGTCAGGAGACCTGGGTTCTGGTCCCTGCCCTGCCCCTGACCTGTTGGGTGAGCCTGGGGAAGTCATTTCTCATCTCTTCCCTTTCCTTTCCCTCTCTTTGTGTGCAGACCGCAGGCTGGTTGTGACGCACCAGACATCATGGGGCCCCAGTCTCAGTTGGGCTCTCTGGGTGCTCTTGTCATGTACGTGATTATTACTGATGAGGATTAGATGGCAAAGCTGCTGGGGAATTTTCACGGCACAGCTGCCTTTCCTCTCTCTCCTTGACGCCCATTTCTGGTCTGAGAGATGAGCGCTCATTGAGTAGAGAAGGGATAGCTGTTCCTGCAGACCTCGTGCTGGCAGTGGGAAGGCTGGGGCAAGTTCTGCATGAGGAAGATCTGTAAGTCTGGCTCAAGTTTAAATAAAGGAAACCTCCATTTGCTATTACTTACACGCAAACATGTTCATGTTCGTTCTCTCTCTCTCCTGTCTCTCTCTCCCCTGGGCATAGGGAAAATGGATGCAAACAGGCTTCCTTCAGCCAGCCAGAAGAATTAGTATTAGTGGGCTCATGGATGCTACAGACTGACACTGCGGGTTCATTAGCCCCAATGATGGGCATCCTCCACTTTTAGATCAGGTCTCTTGTCTGGACCCAAACTCCAGCTATTCCTGAAATGCTTAATTCTGTCCTTCTTTTCTAGGAAAACTAGTTGAACAGAGGAAACATGCTGAGGCAGCCATACTCCTGGAGCAGTATGCACAGGTACCGTGCACCCTGGTACACCTCCCTTTTGCCTGCCCTCGTTCCGATCTCTCGACCCAGGGCTTATATCCCCTCACTGTCGTATAGACTCTGTTTGGGCACCTCTGACAAAAAGATTAACCAGCCTGGGGCTGAATAGGAGCTAAGCAGAAGCTATAGGACAGGACAGCAAAGCCTGTGGTGTGCTCCCAAGTGTTTATGGGGGGGATTTATCAGTGGTATGGTTGAGCTGGGTGTAATAAATTTCAGTTGGCTGCCAGGAGTCCTGAAAGGAACACGTCCATGTCTGCTGCTGCAATAGCTATTGAAGAATACTGGCACTGGATGTGTTGCAGTTTAAATCACACTTGTACAGACCCTTAAGTAGACTTGATTTTTGCCCTCTGCTGTCAGGAACTTGAAGCCAGTCTCTGTTCTCACATGCCTGTGGAGTGAGCGAGTGCCCAGGAGTGGTGCTGGCCCTGGCATTGCCGGGCTAGGTTTTGGGATGGCACGTAGGATAGTGGAGGAGAAAATCAACAAAACTTGGAGTTAAGATGTCCTTATGCTGAAAATATGTAGATTGGCTTCAGGCAGGATTTCCTGGCACTGACTGCAGTACAGTTGTGATGGGAGCTGTGCTTGAGCAGTTGCAATCCAGGAGCCCAATGCCCCATGCCAGAGGTAACGCCTGATTGTAGGACAGTAATCATTGCGTCCTTGGTCTCCTTTCCCCAGGACTACGAAGAGGCTGTGCTCCTGCTCTTGGAAGGGACCGTCTGGGAAGAAGCCTTAAGACTAGTAAGGACATTCCAAAGTACTAACTCCTAGAGAGTTCCTAGTGTGTCTATCTCCTGAGAGAACTCTCCCCTTCCTCACCTTGCTCTCTCCCCAGATTCACAAATACAGCAGACTAGACATTCTGGAGACCAACTTCAAACCTGCTATCCTAGAAGGTGAGTCTCTTCTTATTGTGAGGAGTCCTCCATGCAGAGGGCTCTCTGCTTGTTTGTAATGGAGTCCTAGGGAGTGTGGTGAGACCTGGCATCGGAAGATGTTTGGAAGATGTTTCATTGGCTCTGCCTAGTTACAAGTGGATGGCTATTTGTAACACCGACAGCGGGCAGGATTGAACATGGGACTTCTGGAGCAAAACACATGAGCCTCTACTGCATGAGCTAAAAGCCACATGGCCTTTAGCTAAGGCTGTAGAGCAGACTCATTCTCTCTCTCTAAGTGGTCTTGGTGCCACTAGATGGGACAGGACACCACACCCAGGAGATGTGTGGGTTACATACTTCCCCCTAGATGAGGAAGTGTATCCTGAGCTTCAGAGACTTCCCAGTTGAAATCCTGGATGAGCCCCCACTTGTAACACCGACAGACCCCGTTCATCGGCAGACGGGATTGAACCTGGGACATCTAGAGCTAAATACATGAGCCTCTACTGCCAGAGCTAAAAGCCACATGGCCACTAGCTAAGGCTGTAACAGACTCATTAATCTCTCGCTAAGTGGTCTCGGTGCCACTAGATAGGACAGAGCACCACCCCAGGAGGTGTGTGGGTTACATATTCACATCTGACTCTGCTCAGCACGGCTTAGCATGCAGCAACGTGACAAGCACTTTTGACTCAATCTTGCCCTCCTTGAGATCAGTGGCGAAATTTGCCCAGACATCAGTGCTGTGGGGAAATAGAGCAGGGGGGCCTTCTTTTTAATAGCCAGAGCTGTGAATCTGAAGGCCCCAAAATAAACCCTCCAACAGAGATCTGTTATGCTAACTACCCTTACACAAAGCAGTACAGGCCAGGGCCCAGGCCAGGGCCTGAACTAGACTAGACTGCACAATTCCCTGCCAAACTCGGTCAAGGGTCATGACCAGAGGAGGGGGGGGGGGGGGAAGGAGGGAAAGAATAAAAAAAAGCCCCAGCAGCAGCACTAATGAAATATGTTCATGACTAATGAAATATAATAACCACTTGTGTGAAGCAATAGGTAACTTTAGCTAAATGCAATTTCTTAACTCATGCAGCTTCTCCTATGGGTGATCTGTGACCCACGCCATGATTCCAGCTAGCTGCAAAAATAGCCAATCATAGATCCTCTTTAGGCGTCCCATGGAAACCCCCCTCCCTTAACTTTAACCAAAAGACCCCGGAAAATAACGTGTCTTGAGAAATGTACCCAAACTAGTGCCAAGTACCACCCCTGGGGAAAAACACCAAGCGCCCCTCTACCCAAATAAACACCCAATTCTCGGAAAATAATGAGGAAGGTACCAGGGGAGAAGGGGGAGGGGGGACTGACCCTGACCCTAGTTTCTTAACTTGCGGTTTAGGGGAGGGACTGACCTGACCCTAGTTTCTTAACTCATGACGTATTGTTTGTACTTTGCTTGCGGTTTAATGAAATAAAAGCCGCCTGCGAGCAGTCCTCAGTGTGTCAGTCTTTGGACTGCACCCCAGTGCACTGGTATGTATGTCAATAAACTGGCCTCAGGCTTGAGTCTTTGAACTAAAATCACTGCGTGGGTGTCTTTGACCACAACAGTGCTGTGTGATGGGATTTATGTGCATGGGGGAGAGTCAGGCTGGAAAAGTAGGAATATTGTTGGTTAGTAAAGGAAGCGCATTGACAGAGCTGTGTGCAGGGAAAGTGTATGTATATGGAGCTCCTCTGTGGAGGAGTTTCAAGGTGGCTTAGCCTTCCCTCTCCTGCTTTGAGGGCTAAAGGAAGGCTGGGCTGATATTGCTGGAGAATTCTCCTTCTCTTGGTGTTGGAGCTGGGAGTTGGGTGCTCTGTTCTCCTGGACCATCTTAATAAAAGGGGAATAGAAGAAGGGTCAGTACTACTGTGGCCACGAGCCTTACAAACAGGAGCCTCAAGTTAGGCTTCTAAACCCCAGCCTGGCACATGGATGCCTTTGGCACTCTGGGTTTAGCAAACTACCTTTAAGCTCCTGTTGGCTTTTTTTAAGCTTTGAATTTCCATCCATCCTATGTGATTCCTGAACAGTTCTGCCCCCACTGTGCTGGGCTCCTAGGCTTCAGAAAACGAACACAGCACATGTTAACAATACGAACACGTGTTGACTCTAGCTCTGCTTCCAAAGGGAATTGAAAAAGGGTTTTAAAGTTTAAAATGTGCTTATTTATCTTTGGTCTGAACCTAACACCTTCCTGGCCCCTTGGCACCATCTGCTCTCTCTGCAGCTCAGAGAAATTATTTGGTGTTTCTGGATTCTCAGAAAACAACGTTCACTCGCCACAGAAAGCGCCTCCTGGTGGTTCGAGAGCTGAAGGAGCAAGCCCGCCAAGGGCTACTGGGTATGTTTTTGAACCAATGCAGGTCAATAACTAGTGTCAGTAACTAACGATGTCTTAACGAATTCCTGAAAACACCAATGAAGTGGTTTCCCCATAGGAGCATAAGAATGGCCATAGTGGGTCAGACCAGTGGTCCCTCTAGCCCAGTATCCCGTCTTCTGACAGTGGCCAGTGCCAGGTGCTTCAGAGGGAGTGAACAGAACAGGGCAATCATCGATTCCCGGCTTCTGGCAGTCAGAGGCTTAGACACCCAGAACAAGGGGCTGTGTCCCTGACCATCTTGGCTAATGAATTGATGACTTATCCTCCATGACCTTATCTAATTCTTTTTGAACCTAGTTTTTTGGCCTTCACAACACCCCTTGCCAGCGAGTTCACAGGTCAACTGTGCGTTGTGTGAAGCAATACTTCCTTTTGTTTTAAACCTGCTGCCTATTAATTTCATCGGGTGACTTGTGACTCTTGTGTTATGTGAAGGAGTAAATAACACTTCCTTGTTTGCTTTGTCTTCATCATTCATGATTTTGTAGACCTCTATTCTATCCCCCTTAGTTGTCTCTTTTCTAAGCCAAACAGTCTTCCTGTTCTCTCCTTAGGCCCTAATGTCAATGGCTGTGCTGGGGTCTGCTGTAGCTTGTGAAAGTGGCCTTCTGGTTTGATATTTCTTATAACAAATTTTTTTCAAGAGTCAGAGAATTAGAATGTGACCTTTTGATTTCATTCACCTTGTGTGAAATCTTTGCATTTCCTGCTTTACAATTTAAATTTTTTCTTCTACAGAGCTGTCAGTGTGGCAGCTTTCCTGAGTTAAACACTTCCACATACATGTAAAAACCCCACAGGAAAGGACCATGTTTTCCTTTCCACGCTGGCCAGTTGGGGTTTAGTCATGATCCGGACACATGCTGCATTGTAGAGCACCTGTTAGAGGTGAGGTTTCTGGTTCACTCCCCTTTTGCCAGTTCAGGGAAGCCCATGGGGATTATTTTAAAAGAAAGCTACTCCTCTTTCTTCGAGTTTGTGTCCCTATGTGCACGCACCTATGAACTGGAGACTGTAAAGTGGTGTCCGCTGGCCCATATCTGTGCAGTGCAGCTCCTGGTGCTCCCAGACGAGGGCAGATAAGGAAGTGTGGCCCAGCTGCCTCTTAAAACCTTCTCAAAGATTGAGGCAGAGCGATTGCATGTCCATTTATTCTTCTTCCAGTGCTTGCTTATGTCAACTCCATGTTAGGTGTGTGCGTGCGTGGCTGCCAGAGATTTTTTGCCTTAAAGAATCTGTAGGGCCAGCTCTGGCGCCCCCTGGAGCCCCGCACTCATGTATCATTATATGAGGCTCCCCCAGTTCCTCTCAGTTCCTTCTTGCTATCCGTGCGCTCTCTCAGTTCCTTCTTACTGCCCATGACGGTTGCTGGAACGCCTTTCTCCTTTATGACAGCAAGTGCGCCTAGTGGTTTTTCTTCTACAGTTCTTAGTGTTAGTAGTTAGTTAAGTTCAGATAGTTAGTAGTCCATTCAGGGACATTGTCCCAGGGATGGGGCATGCTCCGTTCCCCTGGCTTCAAACTGTGTTCCGCCTGTCACAAACCTATGCCAGTCAGCAACTCCCACGCAAGCTGTTTAAAGTGTCTGGGGAAGACGCACATCAAAGACAAGTGCAGAATTTGTAAGGGCTTCAGGCCAAGGACACAGAGATCCATCCAAAAGCCTTGCTGATGAAAGCGGCACTTAGACCATCCTCAGAACCATCCCACTCTGACTCGGCACTGAGCACGTCGATGTCGGTACAGAGTGCTCCACTGGCACCAGGCTCACCTCGGCACCATTCACCATCACTGTTGCCGAGCAAGCAGCCCAGGAAGCAGCGCACAGATGGAGGGCGCTTCCCTGCGCTAAAGAAAGACAAAGAAGGGGTGGCAGGCAAAGGACCCATGTCGGGCCATTTGCTCTCTTTAGAGTGGCAAGAGGCAGCCTCTCCACCAGGGCTCCAAGCCCAGTAAGGGAACCACCTCTGACTCCCAGGAGCGGTAGGGGACCCTTGCACCTGGTGGTGCTTTCAACGTCAGAGGTGTTTCAGGCGGTCAGGGACCTCTTGGCTCTACCAGTGCCACCCACACTGCAGGTCTTGCCTTCAGCTGCAGAGTCAGTGAAGGCATCCCCTTCCAAAGGGAAGCTCACCATGGGCCCACCGCAATGGTCACTGGGCCAATGCCAGTCCCCAGAATCCTGGCACCGGTCGACAACACCGCAGCCCCAGCGACATTTGTCTCAGTCTCTCTGGTACTGGTCGTCCTCCTCTCGGCAGCGGTCGCTGACGCTACGGCGCCAATCACCAACCCTTCGGCACCGGTTTCCAACGCCTTGATCCCTGACTCCGTGTCACTCTCCGCTGTCTCAGCACTGATCTCTTCCACCCGGCACTGCTCCCCGGCCCCGCTCATAGCCGACAGTGGGAGGCTCCGACTTAAGTTCCCTCTAAGCTGCGTGGCCATGCAGCTGCCTATTAAGCGCTGGACAGGGGCCCCGAGCTGCTGTGGTGAGAGAGGGCTGTGGGGAGTCCTCTTTCCCCTTTGCAGCCCCGGGGCAGCCTGCACCAGAAATCCCTCATCCCCGGCCCCACCCCAGAGCCTGCACCCCCAGCTAGAGCCCTCACCCCCTGCACCCCAACCCTCTGCCCCAGCACTAAGCCCCCTCCCACTCTCCAAATCCCTCATCCCCACCCCCGCCACGTGAATTTTGTTATGTGCACCAATATGGAGGTGATGCCCGGGGCCCCCCCGCCACCATTGCTGGTCCTGGATTGCTGCTCCAGGGCAGTGCCAGGGACCGGCTGCCTGGGGCTGCCGGAGCAGCGGCCGGTGCGGCTGGGCCCTAGGCTTCCCCAGCTGCTGGGCTGGTCCTGGGGTCAGCATTGCAAGATTCAAGGAGGTCACGGAAAGTCATTGGAAGCTGTGACTTTCCGTGATCTCCGTGAATGATTCGCAGCCTTAGTTATAATATCTGGGACTCCATGGCTAAATTTAAGGACTCCCTGCCACAGGAGCTCAGACAAGAGTTTGCATCCATCTTGGAGGAGAGCAAGCCAGTGGCCAGAGCCCCTCTCCAGATAGCATTGGATGTGGCCAGCTCTATGGCCTCCACTGTGTCCATGCCATCTCAGAAGGTGCAGCAGTCTATTCAGGACCTCCCATTTGAGGGCAATGCTCTGCTTTCAGAGAAGACATACCAAGCTGCATGGCTTGAAAGATTCCCGTGCCACACCTTGCTCCTTGAGCCTGTACCCGCCGAAGGCCTCTAGGAAACATTTCCGGCGACTTCCACCGCCTAGATTTTTGGGTCCACCGTGGCAGAGCTCCTTCAAGAAAAGAGACAGAGGCTTTAAACCCTACTGACCCACCCCGTCCTCCTCGGCTGCCCTGTCGGGCCCCACACATCACCCAGATGGCCCATGGCAGGTATTTTGAGGGTATGCCCGAGGACAGTCTTCCAGTCTGGCCTCAAGATCCATTCCCCAATTCGTTTCTGAACCATTTGTCTCCTTTCCTCACTGCATAGACCCAGGTGACCTTGGACCGTTGGGTGCCCAACACCATAACACTGGTTACACCCTGCAGTTTTCCTCCCTCCCTCCCACTCCCTTCCCCAGTCCCTCTTCAGGGACCCTTCTCATGAGCATCTCCTCATCCAGGAGGTGGAAATCCTCCTACGTGTAGGGGCCATAGGGGAAGTTCCTCAAGATATGAGGGGAAAGGGGTTTTATTCCTGATATTTCCTATCCCGAAGGCCAAAGAGGGCCTCAGATCCATCCTAGACCAGCGTGGCCTCAACAGATATCTCAAGAAGTTGAAGTTCCACATGGTCTCCTTGGCCTCCATCTGCTCTCTGGATCCAGGGGACTGGTACGCTGCACTCAACGTAAAGGATACCTACTTCTATATTTCTATTGTCCAGGCCCATGGGCACAGGAGATTCCTCTGATTTGTAGTGGGCCAACGCCATTAACAATTCACGGCGCTGCCCCTCAGCCTTTCATATGCTTCGAGGGGCTTCACGAAGTGTATGGCAGTAGTGGCCGCTTTCCTGAGACGTTGAGGCAGATCTACCCATACCTCGACGACGGGCTTGTTAGAGGCAGGTCACAAGCCCGGGTTCAGCACAGCCTCTATTTAGTGTGGTCCACCTATCAGGATCTGGGCCTGCTTATAAACGAGCAGAAATGAACTCTGACCCCTGTTCAGTGGATAGAGTTTAGAGGAGCAGTACTCGACTCCACCCTGGCCAGGGCCTTCCTGCCAGAGTCCCAATTCTGAGCCATGTTGGACCTCATTGTGCACGTCAGGGCAAACCCGCTCACAACCGCCTGGGTATGCCTCAAGCTGCTAGGCCACATTGCAGCGTGTACTGACGTGGCCCAGCACACACACCGACGCCTCAGACCCCTGCAGATGTGGCTGGCATCCGTTTACACTCCAAGCAGACAATACTGGTCATAGCCCTGTTGAAGACCTTCCATTAGAACAGCCCAAGCTCTTCAGCGTGGATACAGACTCCTCACTGCGTACCCTTAAGGATTCAAGTCAGTGGGAATTTATGACAAAAAGACATTTTAGCAGATCTCAAACACACAGCCTTCCAGACGGTTCCAGTACCACCCACAGCAGGCCTTTCCTAGGCCTTCGGAGCCTTTGAGGGGGAGATCCAAACCTCACCCCCCTACCACTACCCAGTCAGCACCTCCTTCTAACAGACAGTTTTGACAATGTGGTCAAGAGAATTGAGCAGCCTATTTCCCCAGATCCTCTGCTCTCTACCATCCATCCCCCTTTCAGAGACTGATTATCCCACTTCATAGATTCATAGATTCTAGGACTGGAAGGGACCTCGAGAGGTCATCGAGTCCAGTCCCCTGCCCGCATGGCAGGACCAAATACTGTCTAGACCATCCCTGATAGACATTTATCTAACCTACTCTTAAATATCTCCAGAGATGGAGATTCCACAA